AACACGATAGTAATCAGTAAGACGCCTTGCATAAGAGAGCAGCATCTCAAAACTACAAATTTTAACATTTGTACGTTGAGTGATTTTTAAACATTGTAATTCCATTCCTAAATGAAGGGCTATGAACTATGACTTATATTTTCATCTTAACAGTAGCTTAATATCGTTTGAAGTGACTGAGAACAACCCACGCTGAAGGTCACGGAGAAATCTTTAAAGTTTTCAGACTCCATCACGTGATACTGCCATATAACATAGTAAAAACTATGGACAAAGGAGTAATATTCATCGTAATGTTAACCTAGTAATATAATTGTAAACTAAGTTTCATATACACGCGTCATATGAGACAGAGTAATGTATTTTAGATTTTAGTGATCTCTGGTGATCAGACGACCAAGTTCAAAATCAGAACACAATAATACTGGAGAAGATTCCTTTCATTATCTCTACCAACAGAAATTCCACTGATACTCAGAGCACCGGCTACAGGTCGACGCCTCTTCTGACCTGGTATTAAACTGAACGGAAATTCCACTGATACTCCGAGCACTGGCTACAGGTCGACGCCTCAGACGCGTCTCTTCTGACCTGGTATTAAACTGAACGCAGATAAAGAACGTTTATTTAGGCAAGATTTTAGGTTGTCATGGCGATGAGTACAAAGATGACTGTCTTCTGAGATATTGTGCGATGTAGTCTGGTAGAAATTGATTGATGTTTCAAAGGTCCTTACTGCCTCCAAGGTGATCTTCAAAGTTTAATTAGTTAACGTTCTGTCTTGTTAGCAGTACGCAGTACCAAACATGTTAACGAGAGATTCAAAATATATGTTTTCAGTGTGAACTTAATTAAGTGTCACACGAAGAGTATTAAGGATCGCTAAAAATCACAACACAATAAAAGTAGATACAAAAATGTATACACATATAACAACATATAAATTAAATATTTAAAAAAAAAATACTTTACAATTCAACATAAAAATCAAGAATAAGTCTTTAGTTGCAAAATATTCTGAGACAGTTCCAAGTGAAAATATTAAACATTCCATTACTACGTAAATTTTCATGAACAGCTTTCAAAGGTTCAGATAAAATTGATCATTTGACAGATGAGTTAAAGTTTGAAGTTAATTTTATGTCTCCCATAGAGAATACATTCTATTTCTGTGGCGTGGCTAAGCAGAAGAGAATTTCATCTCAAAGGTACCAGGTTTGAATCTCAGGTACAAACCAGCTTTTTATCTTGACTGAAGTTTTTCATAATTATCCCGCGTTATAAAAAATTTCACGATTCAACATAATCTTACAATTGGATACTCTAAATAATATAATGTAATTAAACAAACCAAATACATGAAGCAACGTGAGAAATTTATTGCTTTAATGGAGTCACAGAATCGTTACTGTGATCAAAGTAACATATCACTGAACCACATTAATTAAAATAGCAAATTAAATCCTGAAGGCCTAAGAAACATTTCCATTTGAAGTCAGATCAAACATCTAAAAACTTTCCCATCTGTATCTACTTTAATTTTACAAGCATTTCCCATCACTCACATGCATGCTGTATGCCGTACCCATCTCACCGTCTTGATTTGATTGTCATAAAGTTAAGTAACAAGTACGTAATGCTCCATGGACCTTCTAGCCGTGTAAAGTTTCCTAGTCCCGTTAATTACTCAATCCACAGTTTATTTTACGTCAGAGACAAAGGTTCTAACTAACTAACTAACTAGATGGCTTACGGAGACCAAAGGTTCATCACCGAATTAACCAAAGCCCTGTCCTGGGCCAACAAAATCCAGTCTCCTTCAGCTCCTATCTCCCATAGATCCCGCCTGAGATAATCCTCCCATCTACGTCTAGGTCTCCCCTGAGGTCTCTTCCCCTCAGGCTTCCCAAATAGTGGACCCAACCAACCAGATGGCTTACCGAACCCAAAGGTTCATCACCGAATTAACCAAAGCCCTCCACCGGACCCTGTCCTGGGCCAACAAAATCCAGTCGCCTTCAACTCCTATCTCCCATAGATCCCGCCTGAGATTATCCTCCCATCTACGTCTAGATCTCCCCAGAGGTCTCTTCCCCTCAGGCTTCCCAAATAGTGGACCCAACCAACCAGATGCCTTACGGAACCCGAAGGTTCATCACCGAATTAACCAAAGCCCTCCACCGGACCCTGTCCTGAGCCAACAAAATCCAGTCTCCTTCAACTCCTATCTCCCATAGATCCCGCCTGAGATTATCCTCCCATCTACGGCTAGGTCTCTCCAGAGGTCTCTTCCCCTAAGGCTTCCCAAATAGTGGACCCAACCAACCAGAGGGCTTACGGAACCCGAAGGTTCATCACCGAATTAACCAAAGCCCTCCACCGGACCCTGTCCTGGGCCAACAAATACAAAACAACAGACAGAATTACTGTTGCTCCCACGTGTATAAAGTGTACGAAAGTTTTAAAAGAGTTATTGGTTACTTTTCTATTTTGATTCTGTTTAGTGTAACAAGCAAATATTTATGCGTAATAAAATGAAATTCTAAAAACGGGAGGCATCCACAAATATTACGCTGCATTACAAATCACTTTAAAATTGTTTGTTTCCCCATTCACAATTTAACTGCTTGAAATAGCTCCTTAAAAAATCCATGTCTTTATGGAACCAGAAAGGTAATTTGTTCACTGAAACATAACTGAGACAGTTGCATCCAATCTCTGTTTTCAAACCACATTTATTTAAAACCAATTTTAATATTATCCTCCCAAGATCTTGTGGATGTTATTTTTGTTAGGCTTGTTAAATTTTCTGGTCATCCCATCTGATCACCCCCAACTCCTAGCATTATACAGCATCCATAATAAACTCCTAACCGGTGATCTTATTCTCTTACAGACCAGAAATCTGTCCCTAAATGACGACTTGAATTCGCTTTTTTCGAATAATTTTTACCAAAACAAAATAACTTGTATATACACGTACAAATTAAGTAATTTAAAACCAGCAAGTTTTAAGTACCGGCCATAAGAACTCAAAAATAAGTAATTGAGATTACTCCAGGTTGGGGGGTTGGTCGCAGGGCTAACAACCTTGCACCGTAAAAAGGAAGATGTTTCGATATCTTGATCAAAGCCTCGGACAGACGGACCTTACAGAAGAGGAGAATTGAGGAGGCCATGGACCGAATACGGACCAGAGAACCATAGAAGGAGGGGAAGGAGGGGGGAATGAGAAGGGGGGAAATGAGAAG